TGAGCAAAAAAGGGTTAAAATTAAGGTTTGTGGCTAATTTTATTAATAGAATTTCGACATTGATCACCAAAAAATTTTGGAAAATACACTTCCCAATTGTTTAATGTGACAAATCATTTGACTATTATAGTAATAGAGAGTGTTCACTATAAAGAATTGTTGGTCATCTCATTTTATGGTCGCGTGATCGTGTTTTGAATAATTTAATTGGCCAATAAAAATTTTTTTGTTAAAATAATTAATAAATGTTTATTTAGCATAGTGGAAGTTCTTTGTTACACAGTATTATACAGAACCCATTGCTCTTGAAACTTTGCCAGTATATAGTTGTTACTTCTCTAAATTGGAGATCAGGTTTAGATCCAATTCAAATGTAGTTTATCACTTACTCTTTATTGCCAGAATATTTGCTGTGTATTTTGCACAATATAAAAAATTTGTGTACCATTTCAATTTCCACTATGCTTGTTTATGTTACATGGGAGTTCATTATAGAATTAAATTTTGGTGATAACAATGGATTTGATCTGCAGCACAGATCAATATTTGTGATAGAATCAAAATTCATCCAATAATAAACATGATTTTATCTAAATTTCTTGCTTGAAAATATGCTCAGAATCAGCTTAGAATCAGTTTTGAAATTGGTTGAGTAAGAATCAACATAACTTGTTTTCATTTACATAACTGAAATTTAACTTATACATGATTATAATGATAAGGTTTTGAAATGGCTGAAGCCAATCAAAGCATATTTTCAAATAGACATATAATGGTAACTCAAGATGCAACTGATTTAGAAGGTATTTATTTATATGTATAATAAATTCTTTGAAATATTCTTTTAATAAGTTTTTTAACGAAAAGTCAATTTTTATTATTATAGTAATTCAAAATGGAGATAATACAGAAGGTATTTTATAAGTTTAAATTTATACAAATATTTAAAACAAATTTCTACTATAATATATTAATTGATATTTAATTATTAGATAATTTTTCTAGTATGATTTTTGTCCACAACTATCCAAACAGTTCAATAATTGAAACACATTATGAGTCAAATGGAAATTGTTATTATTTATATTATAATGTTATTTCTTTAGGAACTTATCCAACCAATCCAAAATTAACTCAAAAAAATAAATACAATAAAGTACAATACCCTATACCTGATAATTATATAATTGAAACAGAAGTTGCTAATTGTAGTATTAGATGTGAAACTAAATATGAATCATTTTCAAAAGTATGTTTTAAAATTAGTTGGAACAAAGGATGTACAGAATGGAATACTTATAGTACAAAAACTTCCTCAGCAGCTGTCAGTTCATTTTTACAGGTATTTTGTAAAATATTTTGTTAAATTATATCATTAAACATTTTGAAATATTATTCATGTTTATATTTACTTTATTAGATGATTGGTTGGAAAAAGTGTTCTAGACTTTCTGGACCTCAAGTATTTGGTTTTGATATTAAACCATTACATGATGCTCATTTACAAGTTGATTTTAGCTTTTTAAACAACAACAATAAAACTAAAAGAAAAAAACCTCTTGATGAAATTACTTCTAATTCTCAACAAAACAAATGATTCAATAGTTTTGGAAAAGATGCTTATGATAACATCAATAAGATAATTACTAAACATAGATTAACTAATTCAACAGATCAACAAATTGTATATGTTCATAACATTGAGCTTGAATATAATGGAAATCAAGTTTTTATTAAATTTAATCCAACAACTAATCAAGCCAGGCTTGATGCAGT